TGATTTATTGTAGAGATGAGGTCTCACCAAGTTGCCCAGGCGGGTCTCGAACCCACAGGCGGGCTCAGGCAATCCACTCACCTCAGCCTCCCAAAGGCGCAGGATTACAGGCTGAGCCACCGAGCCGGGCTCGTTTGCTTTTTTTAATAGTCATTCTACTGGATGTGAAATTGTGGTTTTGATTTGCATTTCCCTTATGGTAAGTGATGTGGGAATCTTTTTGTATGCTTTCTGGCCATTTGTACATCTTTGGAGAAATGTCTCTTCATGTCCTTTGCCCATTTTTGAATTGGGTTCTTGTTTTTTTGTTGTTGAGTTGTAGGAGTTCTTTGTGTATTTTGGGTGTTGAATTCTTATCAGATGGGATATGCAAGTCTTTCCTCCCGTTCTGTGGGTTGCTTTTCACTCTGTTAATAGTGACCTTTGATTGCACAGATGCTTTTCATTCTGATGTGGTCCAGCTTTTTCTCCTTTTGTTGCCTGTGAAGAGTTCATCTCAGAGGTGTTTCTGCAGCTTGAGTTGGTCTTCGGCAGCTCCGTTGGTGCACATCTAGACTGGTGGCTCTCCACTGGGGCAGCCTTGCCTCCAGAGGACATGTGTCCATGAGCAGAGACATCCTCGGTTGTCATGACTGGGGTTGTCACTGACATGCAGGGACTGGAGGCAGGGGTGCTGCTGCACATCCTGCAGTCACAGGACTGCCCCCCCAGAAATGGGCACGGAGCCCCATGCAGGCCCTGCGATGTCCTTGTGCGCGATTGAGGAGCCCCGATCTGCAGGTTTCTGAGAGAATCCACATGTGGGCTGATCCATTCCTGGGCAAAAGGGTCTGCAGTAGGCAAAAGGCAAACATTTCACCAGTCCTGCAGGCTTCTGCATGCCCACCTGGAGCTCTCAGGAGGAGTGCAACTCTGCCCAGCTCCGCCGCCAGCTCCCTGAGCCCGGATGTGACCTCCCTCCCAGGGTCACAGTCGAGTTGTGTCAGTCCCCATGGTTTACATACAGTCTTGAATGGGTGATGGGCAGAGGGAAACCAACAAAAATGTGATTTCTTTGTTGTTTTTTTTTTAATTAGGTCGGCACCCCTGGCCCAAAAGTTTTTAAATTTTTAAATATACTTTTTAAAGACAGGGTCTTGCTCTCTGGCCCAGGCAGTGGTGCAATCATAGCTCACTGGGCTCAGCAGTCCTCACCTCTGCTTCCCGAACAGCTGGAACTACCGGCATGAACCACCATGCCTGGCTAATTTTTCAGTTTTTTTAATAGAGACAGGGTCTCGTTACGTTACCCAGGCTGGTCTGTAACTCTTGGCCATGGCCTCCCAAAGTGCTGAGATGGCAGTTGTGAGCAGCCATGCCTGATGGTTAATTTTTTAATGAGGTAAAATTCACATAACATAAAATTAGTCATTTTTCAGTGACAGTTCAGTGGCATTTAGTACATTCACAGTATTGTAAATCATCACCTCTTTCTTGTTCAGAACCATTTATTATGCTAAGAGGCAATCCCATACCCAGCCAACTGCCTCTTCCCCTGCCCCTTCCCCAGCCTCTGGCAGCCTCTGCTTTCTGTCTCCGGATCTGCCTGTTCTGGACATTTCCAGCAAATGGATTCACACAGTGTCTGTCCTTTTCTGACTGACCACCCTCACTGAGCATCACGTCTTCAAGGTTCCTCCGTGTGGTATCAGGTGTCAGGGCTTCATTCCTTTCTGTGACTGGATAGCATGTCCCTCTGTGGATAGACCACGTGCTGTTCGTCTGCCCATGTGCTGATGAACATGTGGCTGTTTCCACTTTTTGGCCGTCATGAATGTGCTGCTATGAGCATTTATGTTCAGGTTTTGGTGTGAGGCCGGGTTTTCAGTTCCCTGACTGTGTGCCTAGGAGTGCAGTTGCTGGGTCCTGTGATGACTCTGCCTCTAATGTTGGAGGAACTGCCAGCCTTCATTCCTTTTTCAGAAATTCTTAGGACAGTGAGGTGGTCCCATCCTCATCTCAGTTTTACACCTGTGGAAGTTAAGGCTCCTAGGGGCTTTCCCATAGTTGGGTTCAGAAACAGGGAGCAAGTGCAAGAGGGGCCTGCCCAGAAGGCCGGGGGGATGGACCATGCCTTAGAGTGGACACCTCTAAGGACAGTGGAAGGTTCTGCCCCAGCCTCATTGGGTCATCGTGTACAGAGCTGCTCTCAGGACTGCTTTGAAGACATTTGCTCCCTTCGGCCACCCAGACACCACAGTGTGCTTTGTACTACAAGGTCCTCAGAAGGAACTACCCTCATGCTGCAAGCAGAGAAGTCGAGTCATTTGCTGAAAGTCACACAGGCTAGAAGGGGCAGAGCCCAGGTCATGAGGTGGCTCTTGACCTTGGATACCGTGAGTGTACGATGAGGCAAGTCAGGTGACTCGGCCCGGGACCCCCGGTCCTGCTCCAGCAGAACAACCCGGAGCTGTTTCTCCAGCTCAGTGCATGGACATCTGTGCTTGGGTGGTTCTCCGTTGTGGGAGGCTGGCCAGGATGTTCTAGGATGTTTTCCAGCATCCCTGGCCTTGGCCCACCAGAGGCGTTATGAGCCCCCTCACCGGTCATGACAGAAGTCCCCAGCCTTTGCTGCTGAGTGTGAGCCTCTGGCTTAGAGGTCACAGCAGGATCCAGTGCCAGGCTCTGCACTTTAGCAGCCCAGCGACTCTGGGTGAGTTCCTTAACCTCCTGTGTCTCAGTTTCCTCATCTGCAAGATGGGCACGATCGCAACTCTGCCCATGTGGGTGTTGTGAGGCTTGAGTCCAGCACATTTAGAGCATGTCTGGCAGTGGCCTTAGCATGTCCCATCAGGGTTCTGTCTGACACCTCCTGCTAAATGTTTTGAAGGGGAACTTGAAAAGCCCTCCAGCTGTGAACCCCTTAGCAACTGTGCCTTCTCTGTCTCAGGACTTGGGGTCCAGTTGGAGGATGGTGGCACCACCAGGGAGGATGCGCCTGTGAGAGCAGAGTGGTACCGAGTGCTGTCGACAGGGTGCCGGGGGCCAGGCTGCCCACTCCCGGGTCAGGGGCTGACCCCGGTCAGGGGCTTGGCCAGGCCTGAGCGGCCAAGAGGCTGCCCTCCTCCAGAAAGAGGGGGTACCCGGGGGGCTGACAGGCCGTACACATGCCCCGAATGTGGCAAAGGCTTCAGCAAAACGTCACACCTGACCAAGCACCAGCGCACACACACTGGGGAGCGGCCCTACAAGTGCCAGGTCTGCGGGAAGGGCTTCAGCGACCGGTCCAACTTCAGCACGCACCAGCGGGTGCACACGGGTGAGAAGCCCTACCCATGCCCCGAGTGCGGGAAGCGCTTCAGCCAGAGTTCCAGCCTGGTCATCCACCGCAGGACGCACAGCGGAGAGCGGCCCTACGCCTGCACCCAGTGTGGGAAGCGCTTCAACAACAGCTCCCACTTCAGCGCCCACCGGCGGACACACACAGGCGAGAAGCCCTACACCTGCCTGGCCTGCGGCAGGGGCTTCCGCCGGGGCACCAACCTCCACAAGCACCAGCGCACCCATGCCGGGCAGAGCTGCCCGCTGCGCCAGCCAGCAGCACCCTCAAGGCCCCAGAAGGTCCTGGGACCAGAACCTGACCACCCCGCACGAAACTCTGTTTCTGGGACCCTTGTCAGAGGTTCCAGGTTACAGTGTTCATGAAGCTGCCAGAGTCGTTTTGGTCCTGGAAGCCGTGGGCCCAGCGTGAGGCCAGGTGCGGGGATGTTTCACCTGCCCCCAAGGGGAGAAAGAGGGGCACTGAACTCCAGACCTGCGGGTACGGTGCTAGGCACAGAGCAGGGGCATGGACAGGCTATGCTAAGTGTGCGGGGTGGCCAGAATGAGCAACCAAGAGCCGGAGCTTTAGCCACAGAGGCACTCCCTGTCACAGTTCATGAGGCCAGCAGTCACACTGAGGCGTGGCAGGGCTGGCTCCCACAGGTCCTGTGGAGGGTCCACCGCTGCCTCTTTAGCTTTTGGTGACTGCTGGCATTCCTTGGTGCATACCCTCATCACTCTGCCTCTCTCCCATGTGTCTGTGACCCCATGTGCCTGTCTCTGTGTCCTCTCTCTTATTTTTTTAAGAGACAGGGTCTTGGCTGGGCCCAGTGGGTCATGCCTGTAATCCCAGCATTTTGGGAGACCAAGGCAGGAGGATTGCCTGAGCCCAGGAGTTTGAGACTCACCGGGGCAACATTGTGAGACCTCGTCTCTACAATAAATTAAAAAATCAGCCAGGCATGGTGGCACATGCCTATAGTTCCAGCTACTTTGGAAGGCCAAGGTGGAAGGATTGCCTGAGCCCAGCAGGTCAAGACTGCAGTAGCCTGGGTGACAAACCCTGACTCAAAACAAAAAAAAAAAAAAAAAGACAGAGACAAGCTCTCACTCTGTCACCCAGGCTGGAGTGCAGTGACATGATCATAGCTCACTGTAGCCTCAAACCCCTGGGCTCAATCAGTACTCCTGCCTCAACCTCCTGAGTAGCTTGATTATAGGTGCACACCACTGCGCTCAGCTTATTTTTATGTTTATTTTATAGAGACAAAGTCTCACTTTGTTTCCCAGGCTGGTCTTGAACTCCTGGCCTGAAGTGATCCTCTTGCCTCAGTCTCCCAGAGAGCTGGAATTATAGGTGTGAGCCACCATGCCCATCCTGTCTTCTTTTTGGAAAGATGTCAGTCATGGGATATAGAGCCCTCTCAATCCACTGTGACCTCATCTTAAGTAATTACATGGGCAAAATTCCTATTTCCCAGCTAGGTCTCGTTCTGAGGTTCCAGATGGACATGGGGGCCACTTAGCTGTAGGGGAGCCTGGCAGCTGCCAGTTTGTCCCTCCTTATACAGTGTGCCCCAGCCTTCCCTCCCTCCTGGCCAGGCTTTCCAGGTGGGGCCTGTGGGCATCTCCAGGCTTACAGCAACTTCAGGGAAGTGGGGCAATTCTGGGGTCACCTTGGCAGACCCTCAGCTGCTCTGTAGGAGGGAGGACGCCTGGGGTGGCAGCACTCCACTGTGACCCTATTGTCCTAACCTCCTGCCTTGGTGAGGAGCCAGGGGCTCGACAGCCTGATACCTCCCTAGGTCGGGGCCAGGGCTGCCTCTGCTTCCGGCCCTCAGTGGCCATTTTCAGGATGCGACCCTCCTTGGCTGTCCCTCTTTGTCCTTCTGAGGTAAGATGTCCCCATCTTTGAGCTGTTGTCTGGCCCATGGGACATGCGATCCTCTGTGATCTCTGCACACCCCGTCTGGGTGAGTGGCGCAGGGTTTTAGTATAATAGAGCCTTTGATGGACTTAGTCATCATGGAGGTCAGAGGACAGCTATGGAAGCCATTGGCTTCCAGAATGTTTCATCCAGGTGTTGTGTGGTGGTTCCTCATGGCTGGGTGGTCTTGGCTCTCATCCTAGCCTCTGAGGCTTTATTCCATTTTGTCATCCAGTTACTGTATATAGTTGCACATTTTCACCATTCAACACAACCCAGGTTCCAAGGTATGTGACCTGCTCTTCCTTCGTTCCCTTAATAAATAATATTTGTCCTTCTGGCCTGCGTGTGCTCTGTACTGTGTATTTCTGCAGAATGGGGCTGCCTGGTTCAGAGGTGGCTTTTACCTTCTAGACCAGCTTCCAGAGCTCTCATGGGGCACATGGTACCCAGCCAGATGCAACCAGGCCACCCTCCCCCAGGCTAGCAAAGCCCCAGCGCTGCCAACCATCCACCTCCCCACACAGCCCTGAGCCCCCTGCCCACGTCTCCGTCCAGGCAGTGCTGGAGGTGGTGCCTGGGGAACAGCCTGGGTGGGGTCCGCCCTCAGTCGTTGCCTTGCCCTGTGGGTCTTCTGTGGAGCCTCTCCACTTCCCTCACCCTGCCAGGGCTGCCGCCTCCCGCTGGCTGGGTAGGTCCCTGCTGCGTCTCACCCTGTGCCATGGCCATCCTCATCCTCAGGACTCCTATGGTGGGTGACCTTCACATGACCTGTGAGCCCGGGGTGCATGCAAGTGCTGTGTCATCTCACAGTTCTGCGAGGTGGTGTGCCTGGTTCTCCCTTCATGAGGGGAAGCAGGGCACAGGGAGCCTTAAAACCTTGCCCCGGCGGCGGAGCCAGCATTGGGCCCACTACCTTCTCCCCTCACTTGCCTTGGCAGACAGTAATTCACAGACAGTTGAACTTGGGACAAGAATTTATTTTCTATCGCTGCTGGTGAAACATTCAAAATGAACTTGGGTGAAAATGGGAGAACATGGGTTAAGGAAAAACACCAATGAGGGGCTAGGTAGTTTTGGTGGAGGCCGCCAGGCTGCGGGGGAGGGATGTGCCCCTGGGCTGCACGTGCCCAAGACCAGAGGGCCAGGCCTCTGCGGGGGGGGGAGGGGGGGGCAGCCTGGCCCTGTGTCCTGCAGGAGGGGCCTCCCCAGGGCTCCTGTGCTCTATGTGGAAGCCAGTCTTGCTTATGGTTTCTCATGAAAACTCCCCTTCCCACTGGGAGTAGGGGATGGTGGTGGGGGGAGTCCCCAGAGGCCAGATACAGTGGGGTCTGGAGAGAAGTCTGTGGCCCCAATCTCAGCCACCAGTGGCCACAAGGCCAGGCAGGGCCTGTCTCTTGGCCTGGTGCATCGCAACCTGTGGAGGGACCCGTGATGATGCCCACTTCTGCTCTTCCTGTGAGGCAGACTGGAAGGTGGTGGGGCAGCATCCCAGAACAAGGTGGCAAGACAGCAAAGATGCCCTGGTAGGGGCTGAGAATCGCAGTTTCAGGACTCTGTAAGGGGCGCTGGGGGACAGTGTTTGCAGTCACAGGACAGCTGTGTCCACGAGGGCCCCAGCTCCTACTGGGTATGGACAGGATGGCCGCCGCTCTGTCCACACAGCCAAAGCTCTGGGTGTTGGAGCACATAGTGCTCTGCTGGTCACGGAGGCCTGGGGTCTCTAGGGCCTGTGTGTGCCTTTCTACTGTGGGCAGAGAGGGGAAGAGAAGGACGATTTTAATCTTAGCCCTTTTCCAAAAGGTCCGTTAGGTGATCTGTCACCAGGAGTAGAATTTTTTTTTTTTTAAGTTGGAGTCTCACTCCGTTGCCCAGACTGGAGTGCAGTGGTCGCTCCCGGCCACTGCAGCCTTGACCTGCTGGGCTCCGGCGATCCTTCCGCCTCAGCCTTCCAAGTAGCTGGAACTACATGCGTGCGCTACCACGCCCGGCTACTTTTTGATTTATTGTAGAGATAAAGTCTCGCCAAGTTGCCCAGGCGGGTCTCGAACCCGCAGGCTCAGGCAATACACTCAACTCAGCCACTCAAAGCACGGGATTACAGGCTGAGCCACCGAGCCCTGCTAGGAGTAGAATTTTTAAAAAGAAAAAAGTTCATTAGGTATGTGTGGTGTGTTAATTTAGGTGCACAAAATAGTAAGTATACAGGGACCCAGAAAATCAGGCTTAAGACTCTTTCAACCCTGAAATTCTTTATGTGTTAGTTTTAAAAAAGACCTTGGGCCGGTGCAGTGGCTCAAAACAGTAATCCTAGCACTTTGGGATTACTCAGGGTTGCCTGAGCCCACGGGTTCAAGACCAACCTGGGCAACTTGGCGAGTCTCCACAATAAATCAAAAAATTAGCCAGGCATGGTAGCACTATGCCTGTGGTTCCAGCAACTTGGAAGGCTGAGGCAGAAGGATTGCCTGAGCCCAGCAGGTTGAGGCAGCAGTGGCCGTGAGGGTGCCACAGCACTCCAGCCTGGGCAACAGAGTGAGACTCTGACTCAAAAAAGAAGAAAAGAAAAAAAGACCAGGCCGGGCTCGGTAGCTCAGCCTGTAATTCCAGTGCTTTGGGAGGCTGAGGTGAGTGGATTGCCTGAGCCCGCGGGTTCGAGACCTGCCT